CATTAAGCTTGTGTTCTAAAGAAGGGGAGAGATCACAAACAACTAAAATATCTAGTATATAAGATAGCAAAAGTGCTGTGGAGAAATTTACAACAAGGAAGTGTGGGAGAGAGGACTGGGATTGAGGTTTGCTAATAGGATGGGCAGGGACAAGACCTCATAGAGAAGCTAACATTGGAGCCAGGTGAATAACTGGGATATCTGATGTTGATCATTTCATGAGGAAAATGCAGGCCCATTTGGAGTTGACTCTCACCCAATATAAGAGTGTGCTCCTTTCCGGCTACTGTCAAATGATGTCACTCTCGGAGAATAGAGTGGCTCAGCTTAAGCAAACTCTCATCATGGGGCTTAAGGGTCATTTTTTCTCTCAAAGGGTTTAAGTGTAAAATTGTCTGTCATTCCCTGCAGGAAAAGTTGCTTGGTTTGATGTCACTGCCAACCAAAGAACAGTTTGAGGAACTGAAAAAGAAAAGGAAGGAGGAAATGGAGAGGAAGAGGGCCATGGAGAGACAAGTGAGTGAAGCCAGGGATATGGGGCCCGCTTCCTCCTGTGGCTCTCAAGCACAGAGGCTGCCGTGAGCTCCCAGCTTGTGTGGGGTTGTAGTGAATCAGAACCTCTCTCTCAAATGTGCATATTTCTTCTGTTGTGTTTCAGCCTCACTTTTATCTATGGGAACTAGAATAATTGTTTTTCTCCCCAGGTCCTATTTTTCTTTCAGAGCTTCTGCTGATTCTCTCATGGCTAGAATATCACAGAGATTGACAGTTCTCCCTATGGCAGAAGTTGCAGAGGACCAAGACATTAGGAAGTTCCTTGTAGAACATATTGGTATATGCAATATTAAACAGAAAATTATATGTGTATTTAACGCTGTGTGAGATTCCAGTGTAGATGAGGGGAACAGACCTCAGAGGTTTAAGAAGAGTATATGGCCTGTGAATCTAAGATTGAGAAAATCTGATGCCCTAACTTATTCATTATATTTTATTTTTATTTTTGAAAATCAGGGTCTCCCTTCTGCCCACATATACACAAAAACATGACTTGATTTTAGCAGTTGGATATCTTTGTCCTGAGGTGAGAAATTGGAGTGTCACTGGCACAGGGATAGAGGGACAACAGAGGGTGGGTGACAGTGTGGGCTGCTGCCAGCATGGTGACTATTTCTTCTCTCTGCTTTGCTCTCTCCCCAGGCTGCCCTGGAGTCTCAGCGAAGGCTTGAGGAAAGGCAGAGTGGCCTGGCTTCTCGAGCAGCCAACGGGGAGGTGGCATCTCTCCGCAGGGGCTCTGCCCTCTTGAGAAAGGCTGAGGGCTGGCTCCCGCTGTCAGGAGGTCAGGGGCAGAGTGAGGACTCAGACCCGCTCCTCCAGCAGATCCACAACATCACATCATTCATCAGGCAGGCCAAGGCCGCGGGCCGCACGGATGAAGTGCGCACCCTGCAGGAGAACCTGCGGCAGCTACAGGACGAGTATGACCAGCAGCAGACAGAGAAGGCCATCGAGCTGTCCCGGAGGCAGGCTGAGGAGGAGGACCTGCAGCGGGAACAGCTGCAGATGCTGCGTGAACGGGAGTTGGAACGAGAAAGGGAGCAGTTTCGGGTGGCATCCCTGCACACACGGACTCGGTCCCTGGACTTCCGAGAAATCGGCCCTTTTCAGCTGGAGCCCAGCAGAGAGCCTCGCACCCACCTTGCTTATGCTTTGGATCTAGGCTCTTCCCCAGTTCCAAGCAGCACAGCTCCCAAGACCCCGTCACCTAGCTCAACTCAACAGCCCACCAGAGTGTGGTCTGGGCCCCCAGCCCTTGGCCAGGAGCTCTTAACCCAGAGCAGCATGCCACAGCAACATGAGGGGCCCTCCTTAAACCCCTTTGATGAGGAAGACCTCTCCAGCCCCATGGAAGAGGGCACTACTAGTCCTCCTGCTGCCGGGGTTTCCTTCGACCCTTCAGCCCGCATGCTGAAAGAGTACAATCCTTTCGAGGAAGAGGACGAGGAGGAGGAGGCAGTGGCAGGGAATCCATTCATTCAGCCAGACAGCCCAGCTCCTAACCCCTTCAACGAGGAAGATGAACATCCCCAGCAGAGGCCCTCAAGCCCTCTGGTTCCTGGCAACCCCTTTGAGGAACCCACCTGTACCAACCCCTTTGAGATGGACAGTGACAGTGGGCCGGAGGCTGAGGAGCCCATAGAGGAAGAGCTCCTCCTGCAGCAGATCGATAACATCAAGGCATACATCTTTGATGCCAAGCAGTGTGGCCGCCTAGATGAGGTAGAGGTACTGACAGAGAACCTGCGGGAGCTGAAGCACACCCTGGCCAAGCAGAAGGGGGGCACTGACTGACTGGCAGTGGAGAGGGCACCTTTGGGCCCAGGGGTCTGGCAGGAGCCAGTGGAGCAGGACAGAGGGCAGGCAGGGTGGATGGGGAAGGTGGCAGGGTGAGAAGTCAGATGCACACAGGTGAGGGGCAGGAATCTGCTGTTTTGTGTTGTGCACTTTGAGGTGTTTCCACTACAGTTGAATAATAGAATAGAAACTAGAACAGGGAGAATCAGCATTTATTTGCTGTTTTTCCTGTTTATTATTACTATCTTTTGTAATTGGAGGTTTACCCCTTTTGAAGGGACTTTACATTTTTACTATCGAGATATAACTAAATGCAGCTCTGTTGGGCCCAGGGCAGAAATGGCTGCTGTGTACCTCTTGGGTCTATTTGCTACTGCCTAGTCTTGGTTCCTTTTGCAGTATTATAGGGCAGCCTTTATAGAGCCCTTCTTTAGCCAAGACAGAGAAGATAGATTCCACTGAGCTATATTCTGCTCTGACAGAAGTCCATCCCTAGTAGGCTTTGAGTTCCATTTCACCTGGGGCCGCCTCTCCCCTGCTCTGCGCTTCCTGTCTGTACAATAGCAGGGGGAAGTGCTGCTATGAAGGGGAGAGTTTAGATCCAGGAGAGCCCAGCACCTCTTTTTAAGGTGGGGTGATGGGATCTATTTTCTCAGTTTAAGTTGTTTTTTGTCTCTTTCAGGAAGTTAAGCTGCCAGTGCAGGGTATCAATGTGAATCTGGTCCTGAGCTTTTTAGAAAATAAGAGTGGTTAACTTTTTGGTTGATACTAGTATTACTTGTGAGAAGAGTTTCCCCACCCTTGTTCTGATGGAACAATTGTCTGTCACTGGAGAAATCTCCCTCCAGAGCTTTGGCAAAGTTACTCTGATCTGGGTCTGTTTAAAAGGCCTGGTCTCTAATTTAGGAATCGGTGATCTGGAAGCTTTTGCAAAACATCACCAGAAGAAGGGAAGCTTCCCAGAGTCAGAAGCTAAATTAATTTCCAAGGCTATTGGATCAGCCGTCTTCCCTTTTGGTTCACTGTGTTCTGACCTGGGGCACTGATGAGATTTTTTTTTTTTTTTTTTTTTTTTTTTGAGACAAGAGTCTCACTTTGTTGCCCAGGCTGGAGTGCAGTAGCATGATCTCAGCTCACTGCAACCTCCACCTCCCCAGTTCAAGTGATTCTTGTGTCTCAGCCACCTGAATAGCTGGGATTACAGGTGTGGACCACCATGCCTGGCTAATCTCTCTATTTTTAGTAGAGATGGGGTTTCACTGTTTTGACCAGGCTGGTTTTGAACTCCTGGCCTCAAGTGATCTGCCACCTTGGCCTCCCAAAGTGCTGGGAATACAGGCGTGAGCCACTGTGCCCACCCTGATGAGATGTTTTATTACCAATGTTAGTATTAAGAAACTGAAATGTTGGAAGAAGCACAACCCAGGATCATGCTGGTAGCACCCACAGTACTTAACTATTAGTCAATTAAGACCAGAAAGGGAAATTGTTAATTTAGCTCTGGTGCTTTGGTTTACAGGAACATAACCCTTAACTGACATCTGACATCATGATAGCCACATGTGCTCAGCTCCGGGTAGAGTTTCTGCAGTTACTCATCTTAACTAATGAACAATAACTGACCACTGGTCACTTTATGCCCTGTAACTAGCTTTAGGCCATACTTTCACTGGTTACTGGTGTGAGAGCTGAAATTAATTTTGTTACATTCTGGTGAAGATCCCTCTTGATAATGGGAATGTTTGAACTCTCTTGATGAAAAAATAATCTGTATTTGTGTTGATGTTCACATTTCTGTATCACATTTCTTATCCTTTTGGTTGAATGAAAAGGTCTTGTATAGGGTATGGAGACGGGGAGTGGGGACCCTTTGCATTTGGGATCTGTTCACAAACAGCCATACGAGTGGGTTAACGAATGTCAGCCAGTTACTAGCCCTGCTGGTGGTTATGGGTTGTTTTGAGAAGTTGGCAACCAGGCATCTAAGATGTTGCCTGGTACAGGCCTCTTTTCTTCCCTGAGGCCCATGACATTTCTCTGATACTCCAGAGGGTTTCCTAGATGGCCAGTAGGCTCCTCCCTGCTTAGGCTCTAATTTCTCTGAAAAGAGGATGAACTGAAAAGCAGGTAGTTTCAGAAGCTAATTGCTGCTTTCCATCATAATTATTTTTCTTGTGAGAACATTTCTCTTTTAATTAGCTAGTGATTTTGATTAACACTAATTCACTAAACATACCCCTTCCCTCAAATCACCTCTGGTAACAATCTGTAAGTAACTAAAAGCATTGAGAAACACACAAGAAACATTTTTTAAACCTATTTTTAAAGGCCCGGCTGGGTGCAGTGGCTCATGCCTGTAATCCCAGCACTTTGGGAAGCTGAGGCGGGTGGATCACCTGAGGTCAGGAATTTGAGACCAGCATGGCCAACATGGTGAAACCTCGTCTCTACTAAAAATACAAAAATTAGCTGGGCGTGGTGGCAGACGCCTGTAATCCCAGCTACTCAGGGAGGCTGAGGCACGAGAATCGCTTGAACCTAGGAGGCAGAGGTTACAGTGAGCCAAGATTGCACCACTGCACTCCAGCCTGGGTGAGAAGAGCAAGACTCCGTCTCACGAAAAACAAACAAAACTGACTCATTGAATATACTAAACCAAACTAAAATCATATTATTTTGATTAAGTTTATCCATGGCTGTATTCTTCTATGAATTCTTCCATTTAATTCTTCCATGATTATCTTCTCCTGTAAATATATACATCACAGGAGTTAGAATTCTCTACCCATCAGCTGCACCATGTTGCAGAATTCATGCAGGCACAAAGTTGGAGTTACAGAGATGGGTTGACAGCAGGGAAAACTTGGCCTATGTATTATAACCACAACTTCAAGTTCTTACCTCATGTGAATATTCACCCTTCCTTTAGTCTTCCAAGGCAAATAGCCCCATCTCATCACCAAATGAGCAAGGTCTTGATACGGCATAGCAGATCTCCCTAAACACAGATCATGAGAAAAGATGGAAGAGACTTAGGGATTCAGGCATCAGATGAAGTTGGCTTTTCCCTTTTATGCCTTGTTTGTATTTCCCCCTGTCTAATACACTAAGGATACTTACTCATTGTACTTGCAGCTCAATATGTCTTTGCTGTTCAGATACTAAAATGTATCTCTGAGTCATTGTGAGCTGTGCAGTAGGTTGGACATTGTCATAGTTGGTGATGGGACTCAAAATGAAAAGGTGGTCTCTTTACCAGGTCACAGACTGTAGCAGATTGTGCTTGTTATCTGACAATGACTGTCACTTTGAGGGTCGTTGATTTGCATGCACTATTCTGGGGCCTTGTATTGGAGCCTTTTTTAAAAAAAATAAAATCTGAGATAGAGGTTGGGGGTGTGTGTATCTGTGTGCACGTGTGTTACAAGTGAGAATCATCAGATGACATCTCTTCTCTTTTCTTGATGACAACCATCTGAGTATCAGAACAGTTCCAGCACCTGTGTTGTTTGTCTGGTTAAGGCCTCTGGAAAAAATGAAGGTTACTGGGCTCTGAACAGGGGATAGATACGGGTTCCAGTTCTGCCCTTACTCCCAGTTATTCCTGCAGTGCTGGTTAAATGAACAGTTTTACACAGTATAGTGCAGATCCCTTAATGATCCTATCATCCCTGTTTCACACTGGAAGAAACTGAGGCTCAGAGATTGAGGAACCTTGTGACTGCCATCTGTGCCAGTCACCACCCCTGCATGACCACATTTCCCTCCATCGGCTCTACCAGCATGCCTGTGAGGTAGTTACTCACTCAGCTGTTCTTCTGACCCTAGATGCAGAAAAGTTAAGAGAGATTAGCCTGGCTTAGGCCACACAGCCAGTCAGTGGTGGAATGAGGGTTTAAATCCAGATCTGCCTGGCTGGCTTTGCCCTCAGTAACAAGTAGCTGGGTCAGGTGGTGGTTTGGTGGTGGTGGGTGCTCAACCATTGTGTCAAGCTCAAAGAGGGCAGAAAAGGGCAATGGGGAATGAAGTTGGGTGCTGCTGAGCTGGTTTCTGATAGTGACTTTACCTGAGTCTGTGAAACAGATCTCCTTAGGGCCTATGTAGATTCTTAAACCAGGAGAGTATAATATTTAGTGCTCACTATAGGCTAGACTGAGTGCTAAGTATTATGCATGGCTTACCTCAGTCTTCCCAACAACCCATTTACAGATGCAGAAATAAGTGAGTGGTGAAGTTAAGCTTGCTTAGGGTTGCACTGCTGGGTTTCCAGCCTAGGTCTGTCTGACTGCAAAACCCAAGCGGCCCTAGATTGTGTTGTATGTGGACACCCATGTTTCTAACGTGGAATGGGGTGTTTCATCCCTAGTAACTGCCTCCAGTGGACTTTTAAGATGAAAAACTTGTGTGTAACTCTTCAGGAAGCCTAGTGTAGTTGTAAAAATACTTCAGAAAGCACTTCTGGTTTTGGCTCAGATACATAGAGTTTGAAAGTTATCCTATCCTTACCACAAGAAAAAGCTGGGCAAACCAAATCATGGCCTTTCTTGGTCCCATTAGAGAGCTGAGTGTGCAAGTCAAACTGCCATCCCAAAATCTGGAGAGAGGTGAGTCCAGAGAGTCAGCAAGATCTGATTGGAGCAGAAGCCATGGGAGCCATAGCTAGTAGGAAAACTTAAATGGTAATTTTGAGGAACTGCTGGAGGTTGAGTGTGGACTAGCATGGGAGTGAGCAACTCCCTCACCCCCAACGCCTTCCTGGGTTTTACTCGACTTGGTTCTCTTGGTGAAGAACTGAGAAAGACCCTCTGGTGGCTCTGGCGGGAAAGGGAGAATCATCTTTGTAACCAGAGCCTTCTCCATAACAAAGCTTATTCCCCAGAGGAAAGCACTTTTTCACAGAGCCTTATCCCATCTGGAGGAGGGCATTTCTCCCATTCCAGCCCCCTCTAGCCTTCCTGGGTCAGGTAAGGGGGTACAAAGGGGAATTAAGAAACACTTGTGAGCCAGTGCGGTGGCTGACACCTGTAATTCCAGCACTTTGGGAGGCCGAGGTGGGCAGATTGCTTGAGCCCAGGAGTTGAAGACCAGTCTGGGCAATATAGCGAAACTTCATCTTTACAAAAAATACAAAAATTAACCAGGCATTGTGGCACGTGCCATAGTCCAAGCTACTCGGGACTGAGGTGGGAGAATTGCTTGAGCCTGGGAAGTAGAGGCTGCAGTGAGCTGTGATTGCACCACTGTACTGCACTCCAGCCTGGGTGATAGAACAAGACACTGCCTCAAAAAAAAAAAAAGAAAAAACCTTGTATAGGTCACAGCCCAAGGACACAAGCCCACTAAAATGCTGAGATTTAATCATAAGATTATAGAATGCTTCACCTCCCCCATGTTTTTCCACCATATCAACAGGACTCCAGGATAGTAACAGTGAGTTACAGCTGGAAGAGCTGCAAGACATGGACTCTCTCAGGAGGAATATCCAGGGAAGCCCAAAGGCAAGAGGAGATAAACCAAAGACACTAGAGGAACTGGAAGCTTCTGACACCTACAGCTATGGCAAACATTAAACACAGCTCTCAACTCTGAGTCAGATTAACATAAGTTCTCATTCTAGAGGCTTATTTACCCCAGTTCTTATGGCCCAATAGAGTGGATATTCTACTTTGAACAAAAAAAATTATAAGCATGCTAAAAGGCAAGGAAAAAAAATAAACCCAATAATCAGATGAAACAAAGCAAACATCAGAACCACACTCACATGTTGGAATTATCAGACAAGAAATTTAAAATGTGGTCTGTTAAGGGGTCTAATGGTAAAAGTAAACAACATACAAGAACAGATGGGTAATGTAAACAGAGATAAGAAAACTAAGAATCATGCCGGATGCAGTGGTTCACACCTATAATCCCAGCACTTTGGGAGACTGAGGCAGGCAGATCACTTGAGGTCAGGAGTTTGAGACCAGCCAGGCTAACATGGTGAAACCCTGTCTCTACTAAAAATACAAAAATTAGACTGGGCACAGTGGCTCATGCCTGTAATCACAGCACTTTGGGAGAGGCCAAGGCGGGTGGATCACCTGAGGTCAGGAGTTCAAGACCAGCCTGGCCAACATGGTAAAACCCCATCTCTACTAGAAATACAAAAATTAGCTGGGTGTGTTGGTGGGCAGCTGTAATCTCAGTTACTCAGGAGGCTGAGGCAGGAGAATCACTGGAGCCCAGGAGGCAGAGGTTGCAGTGAGCCAAGATGGAGCCATTGCACTCCAGCCTGGGTGACAGCGAGACTTTGTCTCAAAAAAAAAAAAAAAAAAAAAAACAAAGCCAGGCATGGTGGTACGCACCTAGAGTCCCAGCTAAGAGGCAGAGGTAGGAGAATTGCTTGAGCCCAGGAGGTAGAGGTTGCAGTGAGCAGAGATTGCGCCATTGCAATCCAGCCTGGGCAACAGAGTGAGACTTTGTCTCAAAACAAACAAACAAACAAACAAACACCCTAAGAATCAAAAGGAAGTGCTAGAAGTTAAAACCTTAAATGAAAAATGCCTTAATGGGCTTATCAGTAGGCTGTCCACAGCCAAAGATTCAATGAATTTGAAGATAGGTCAACAGAAACTTCTCCAGTAAACTGCAAAGAGAACCCTCATCCCCCTGCCAGAACATTCAAGAACTATGAGGCAATTTCAGAAGACATAAAATGCATTTAAGTTGAATACTAGAAAGAGAAAAGAGTGAAGAAAAAATACCTGAAGCAATAAATGGCTAAGAACTTTACAAAATTAATGAGACACGAAATCACAGATCCAGGAAGCTCAGAGAACTCCAAGCAGGACAAATACAAAACATCTACAGCTCTGCATTACCTTATTCTAACCCGGTAAACCAAACACCAAGAGAAAATTGTGAAAGAAGAAGCTAAAGGAAAAAGCCATCATACCAATAAACATAATTACAGCTAATTACTTGTTTGAAACCATGCAAGCAAAAAAAGAGTGGAGTGAAGTATTTAAATTGTTGAAAGAAAAACACCAGGATTGGGCACGGTGGCTCACGCCAGTAATCCCAGCACTTTGGGAAGCTGAGACGGGCAAATCATCTGAGGACAGGAGTTCGAGACCAGCCTGACCAACATGGAGAAACCCCGTCTCTACTGAAAATATAAAATTAGCTGGGTGTAGTGGCGCATGCCTGTAATTCCAGCTACTCAGGAGGCTGAGGCAGGAGAATCGCTTGAACCTAGGAGGCGGGGGTTGCAGTGAGCCAAGATAGCACCATTGCACTCCAGCCAGGAAGGAAGGGAGGGAGGGAAAGGAAAAACACTAACCTAGAATTCTAAATCTGGCAAAATTACTCTTCAAAAGAGAAGGAGAAATAACTTTCAGATCAAGAGTACTTCAGAAATGCACTTTTTTTTTTTTTTTTTTTTTTTTTTTTGAGACGGAGTCTTGCTCTGTCACCCAGGCTAGAGTGCAGTGGCGCGATCTTGATTCACTGCAATCCCCGCTTCCCGGGTTCAAGCGATCCTCCCACCTCAGCCTTATGAGTAGCTGGGACCACAGGCGCTGCCACTACACCCGGCTTTTTTTTGTATTTTCGGTAGACATGGGGTTTCGCCGTATTGGGCAGGCTAGTCTCGAATTCCTGACCTCAAGCACTCTTCCCGCCTCGGCCTCCCCAAAGGCTGGGTTTACAGGCAGGAGCCACCGCGCCTGGCCCTAGAAATGCATGTCACCCATAGTTTGTTTGTAAGAAAATTGAGGTCCTGAGTTGTTAAGTGGCTGAACTTAGGAAGCAATTGATCCCAAACCATTTTTTTTTTCTTTTGCTAAGAAGTTTAAGTCAATGTCAGAAAGTGCAGTCTGAACTCTTCATGTTAAAGCTGGAGATGTTCAGGGAGAAAAATGGACTTTAGGTTCAATAGAATGTTATCAGCTGATTTGATATCCAAACTCAGTTTTCCTGATTATTTCTTATTGCAATGTCTGACATTTAGCCTATGTAAAAATATTTTCCCGTTAGTGGATGGGGAAATTACTAACTTACAGGACGCGAAAACCTAAATCTTCCAAGCGGAAGGAGTCCTAAAGCGAAGATGCACACTCCGGCTCTCGCCGCGCCAGGTCGAAGGCCGCCTACGAGTCCCAGGGTGCTCCGCGGCGTGCACTGCACTCCGGGAAGCGTCTCCTGTGCGTCTGCGCGGGAGGTGGAACCTGGCTCTGGGGAGAAGCGGCGTGAGATCCGCGCCGGGTGCTAGCTAGTCCTTCTCGTCGCTGTTCGGCGCGCGCAGTGGGGTCGGCCCCGCCACCGTCGCCGCCATGCCCATGAAAGGCCGCTTCCCCATCCGCCGCACCCTGCAATATCTGAGCCAGGGAAACGTGGTGTTCAAGGAGTCCGTGAAGGTCATGACAGTGAATTACAACACGCACGGGGAGCTGGGCGAGGGCGCCAGGTCAGTCGCAGCCCCGGCAGCCGTAACCTGCTACTCGTGCCAGCCTGCTGGTAACGTGAGGTCCCTAGTCGCGCTGGGCGCCCGCTCAGCCCCGGGGCGGGCCCCCCAGGTCGGCGCTGTTACCCCCATTTTACAGAGGTCGAGACTGAGGCGGACGGCGGGGCCCCCGCCAGGCCGGCTGCAGTCGTGACGAGGTTTGCGGGGCGGAGGACAAGAACCCCCCTCCTAGATCTCCTTCCTCCGGCGCGGTGGGCGAGGCTGACCCGAGGGAGGCCACCGGTTCCCTTGGCCCCTGTGGCCAGCAAGGCAAGCGCTGGGGAGGGGCAGCCGCAGATCCTTTCGGGGTGACGGGAATGACACCCCTGCCCCAGGACGAATCTGAGAATAAAATGAGAGAAATAACAGCTGCGAACACTGATCATGTCTCGCACAGTTCTGAATGCTTCTCGCGCTTTCTCTCTTCTGATGCCTACAGAAACCCCAGCTTACCGCCACTCTAAGGCTGGGGAAGTGCACAGAGAGGTTAAATAACTTGCGGCTCCCCGAGACACCATGGCAGCCAGTGAGCGGTGAGCCGGGCTGTGTGGCCAGGAGTAAGTGAAAGCGCTTCCTTCGGGACTCAAGGTTTGGAAGTAATTAATTATGTCAGCTGTGCAGCAGCAGGCCCTACCCCGACTAGAGGGAACTATAGGGGACGCCTAGGATGTCTTTCAGCTTGGAACAGAGCAGGGACTCATTGAATGGCAGTTGGCAAGTGAAAGGTTTGGATTGACCCTGAGGCCGCGTGCCTTAGGCTCTGCAGGTATGAAGTCCACATTTATTGAGTACCCTCTGAGTGCTAGGCTGTGTGCTGTGTGCTGGGAGTTCAGCAGTGATGGAGGAGACGGCCTTAGCCCGCAGAAACTTTGGGACTGGGTGTATGTTGGATCAAAATGAGGCGTGGAGCACTCCCTGTGGGGCATGGTCACCTTGGTGACGGACCTTCACTGCATGGCCCTTCAGGAGAACCGGAAGCCACTTCCTAGCCATTTGCTCTGCGCAGGTGAATCTGAGAACTTGGACCTGCTTGCCTGGAATCAGCTGGCTTGATGGCTTCCTGGAAGACTTGGTCTTGGTCTTAGGGTGAATGGGCACCCAGACACTCCTTCATAACCTACTGCACGACTGTGCACACCTCTGTCCCAGGGCAACTGCCAGGCAGATAATGGGAAGGGGTGGGGGTCTCGATGCGGCCCGCAGCGAGCTGGAGAGCACTTGCCCTATCCGGAGGGCCCTTCACTGTTTGGCACTGTGGGCTCCGTGGAGAATTTCTGATTTGTCAAGAAGCTGAAATCCAGATTTTTATGTAAATCTCTGGCTTTTAAATGGTCAGCCAATCAAAATAAGCCTGTGAGCCTCTTACATTCTCAAATATTTTAATATTCTCTAGGTAAATGGGATATAAAGAACCATTTGCTGTTTCTTTGTTCCTGGTGGTAGGGACTGGCCTGTGCCACCTGTGCCCTCTGTGATCTTGTGCCCATGGGTTGGAGTCTGTCTGCCTTGCTCTGGCTAGCCGCACTCCTCCCCCAATCCCCAGCCCTTGTTTGTTCATGTGCCCTCAGCATTTCAGCTGCCCCACTGGGACCTACCTCCATCCCAGGTGCCTGCGACCGGTACGGCCAGTCTTTGGGTACCTGCTGGGGGGAGTGGGCAGGTGCCTTATTTAGTATCTGAGGGCCAAGTCCCTACTCACCCCTGCCAGGTGTTCTACCCTTAAGAAGTGGCCCCAAGCCTCAGGGTGAATTTGATGGTGACAGAACAGTGTGATGGAAGGCCACACTAACAGCCCAGTTAGACCTGGGTCAGTTTACTTAACTTCTGACCTCAGTTTCCTTACTAATTGTAAAATCCCACCTTCTGGGGTTGGAGAGTCAGGTGCCTAGCAAAGTGTCTGGCATATACAGCAGGTGCCCAACTTAAGGTTCCTGCCATTATTTACTTTCCTCCTGTGTTTCAGCAAGAACCATTTTAAGATCTCTGTTGCATTTCTGTCCTAGTAGTTTAAAGTATGGGACTGTCTCACCTGGCTGTGTCCTGGTGTATTTGTAAAAAGTTCTGTGACGCTGGGATACTCTGCAGTGGGGTGGGAACTGATCAGAGGCTTCCTACGCCCCGGAAGGTAAATTCAGCCTTTGAGCTCCCAGGCCTGTGTGCTGTGGGGGTCTCCAAGGCCTCCATTCCTCCACTAGAGGCAGCAGTTTTCAAGGCTTGACTATTTAATTTGAGTCTTATACCCATATAGTTAATAACATCCTCAGAGAGCCACTTTTTTGTTTGTTTGTTTGTTTGTTTGAGATAGGACCTTGCTCTGTCGCCTAGGCTGGAATGTGGTGCAATCACAGCTCACTGGCTCACTGCAACCTCAAACTTCTAGGCTTAAGCGATCCTCCTTCATCAGCCTCCCAAGTAGTTGGGACCACCGGCATGTACCACTATGCCCAGCTAATTTTTTATTATTTTTTTTATAGAGACAGGGTCTCCCTATGTTGCCCAGGCTGGTATCAAACTCCTGAGCTCAAGCAGTCTTCCTGCCTGGGCTTCCCAAAGTGCTGGGATTACAGGTGTGAGCCACTGCACCTGGCTGAGAGCTACTTGTTGATTTTTTGCTTTAGGCCTTATCTGTGGACTTGTCACTATGGAACGTCTCTCACCACCATTGCTACTTCTCACCCCCAAAACCTCCATACTCTTCCACCCACTCCTCCCAGTATCATTATTCCAAATTTTGTATAGGATGATATTCAGCATTCAGATTAATATTACTTTGTAAATGCTATACACAATTGAGCCAAATAGAATACTATGATTATGCTTTTTTTTTTTCACAAGGCCTTTTGTTTTCTCTGGAGTATAAATCTGTGTTTAAATCTTCTAAGTTTAAAGGTGTTCCTCCACTCCTGAATTGTAAAACTGTTCCCCCATGTGTAAATACATTGGTCTCATTATTTAAAAATTGTGGTATAACCTAGATACGGTGCACACCTGTAAGTATACTACAGCTCCATGAACTGCCACTCATGTTTATACCTTGTCTTCACCACACAAATCACGACGTAGTACCTTTCCTGGTTTCATTTTCAGTGGTGCTTTGGCATTGGTGTTAAGTTAGCTTGCGGTGCAGGTTGGGATACAGATTTCTTTCCCCTCAAATGCCTGCCCAGGGGTCCCCATGCCATTCAGGGAATCTTCTAAGAGGATCCCTGCGAGTTGTTTTTCACAGCCTTTTTGGGTCCTCTGAGAATCTGATGAAAACACTGGACTTTCTCCCTAGAAAAATACCCATGCATAAAATTTTAGGCTAAAAACTGTTTCATAGGTTTCATTTCTTCCCTTTTGCAGGAAATTTGTGTTTTTCAACATACCTCAGATTCAATACAAAAACCCTTGGGTGCAGATCATGATGTTTAAGAACATGACGCCGTCACCCTTCCTGCGATTCTACTTAGGTGAGTGGGGCCCTCGCCATGGTCCAGGGGCCGTCCAGACATTCCTGGAGAGACTGCATCCTTCCTGCGGGAGTGTCAGGACGAGCTGCAGCGCGCGCTGTCATGCTGTGTCTGTGCCTCGTGGCACCTTTGGCTTCCCCATACCTAGGCACTCAGCAGCCACTGAGATCTGGACTCTTTTCCCTCTCCAGCCTCATCTCTTATCCTCTGCCTCGAGGATATAACAATTACACCATGGGGGTAATTGTTCCAAAGTTCCTTGTCACACCAGACTGTGATGCCTTTGCCCAAGCTTGTTTCTGGCCTGAAATCCCCTTTCTACCTGCGTTTGCTTATTTAACTGAAAAAAAAAAAAATTCCTTCAGGGCTCAGTATGGGCACCACTTCTAGGAAGCCTTCCCTGCATCCGAGAGTGACCTCCCATATGCCCCCAGAAGCCCTCTGTCTTAGTGCTGTGCGTGTCCTCTCAGGACTGTGTGCACTTACACGATGCTGTTCATGTTTGGATCAGGCACTAAGTGATGTTTATTCCATTAAGTTTGGCTCCATGCTGGAAAACCAGGAGGGCAGCTGTTCTGGCCCAGCTCTCAGACACTTTGATCCTGAGCAAGTAATAGACCCATTTTAAAATCTGTCAGCTGAAGGCAAAATGTCTGCCATACATGGCTATGAGAATCAAATGAAGTGTAGGTTGGGAAATGCTTCAGGAAACAAAATGACCATGTTTTTTCATTCATTCAACAAATATGTAACACATGTTCCCTAGGACCAGGTGCTGGTCCGGAGGCTGGGATTATATCCAGCAGAGGGAGACAGAGAATGAACAAGTAATTTTAACAAAAGATTAGGGCCAGGCGTGGTGGCTCACACCTGTAATCCCATCACTTTGGGAGGCCGAGGAGGGTGGATCACGAGGTCAGGAGATCGAGACCATCCTGGCTAACACGGTGAAACCCTGTCTCTACTAAAAAAAAACAATTAGCCAGGTGTGGTGGCAGGTGCCTGTAGTCCCAGCTGCTCAGGAGGCTGAGGCAGGAGAATGGCTTGAACCTGGGAGGCAGAGCTTACAGTGAGCTGAGATCGTGCCCCACTGCACTCCAGCCTGGGCGGTAGAGCGAGACTCCGTCTCAAAAAAAAAAAAATTAGTGCTGTGGACCTGGCGGTGCAGTGGCTCACCCCTGCAATCCCAGCACTTTGGGAGGCTGAAGCAGGTGGATCTTGAGCTCAGGAGTTCAAGACCAATATGGGCCACATGGTGAAACCCCATCTCTACAAAAAAATATTTAGCTGGTGTGGTGGCATATGCCTGTGGTCCCAGCTACCTGGGGGGCTGAGGCAGGAGGATTGCTTGAGCCTGGGAGGCAGAGGTTGCAGTGAGCCAAGATTGCACCACTGCATGCCAGCCTGGGCAACAGAGTGAGACCTTGTCTTAAAAAAAAAAAAAAAAAAAAGATTAGTGCTGTGAGAAACAGGACAAACAGGCAAGGTTAGAAGGCTGGCCCTGTGGCAGTTTGTGCATGTGAGCTTTGCTTATGTTTTTAAAACCAACCTTATTGAGGTGTAATTTACCTCAGTGTGCTGGTAGTGGCACACCTAAGTAGCACGTGCACCTGGATGGGTACTGGCCGTTGTTATATACCTGTACACTTATGTACGTGCCCCAAGATGCAGAATGCCCCAGGACTGCAGGAAGTTCCTTAGTGCCACTTTCTAGTTAATTTCCCTTCCACCAGAGGCAACCCGTTATCCCTTCTGTCACTATAGATGCATTTTGTTTTAGAATGTCATGTAACTAGAATCTCACAGTATGTGTTCCCTTGTGCCTGGTGTCTTTTACTCATGTTTTGAGATTCACCCAGGTTACATGTTTCGTGGTTTTTCCTGTTTCTGGCTGGGTGGTATTCCATTCTGTGAATGTACCACAGCGTGTCCACTCGCCTGTTGATGACTCTTTAGGTTTTTGTAAGATGCCGAGAGAGTTAGAAGTATGACATTTATGAGAGAGAAGACCTTGAAAGAAACCGGGAGAGTGAGGAGGCCAGGCAGGGAAGGTCGCCAGAACCACAGATGAGGACGCAGCTGTGGGAGTGTTGGCCAGCGCAGTGGGACATTCTAGCCTTGTGTTGGGTACTGAAGGCCAGACCCTAGGCCCTGGCCAGGGAGAGTACGGGCTGCCCAAGTGCTGCGCAGATCCCAGCAGTACTCCACAGGGCTCTCAGCTCAGCGGCTCCTCCTGGGAGGTCCTTGCTTGAAGGGAGGTTTGAGCGGCGGCCTCCTGGCTGCCAAGAAGAAAGCTACAGTAAAGGTGCGTGTAGGCTGCGCAGGTCTCTGGACAGAGGCATTCAGGCCTCCTGGGGGTATACCTGAGTGCAACTGCCGGGTCACAGAGCAGCTGTGTATTGAAGGTTCTCAGGCATTGCCTTTCCAAAGCAATTGTGCCGTGTTGCACTCCAGTCACAGGGTGGAGTTCCAGCAGCTGCACATCCTCGCTCACGCTAGTATTGTTGTATTAATGTCCCAGGGCTACTGTAACAATTAACCACCAACTTGGTGGCTTCACACAAATGTATGATCTTGCAGATCTGTGGGTTAGAAGTCCAGCATGGGCTGGAATCAGTGTCAGCAGAGCCTTCCTTTCTGGAGGCTTGAGGTGAACCCACGTCCTTGCGTTTCTTAGACTCCAGTGCCTGTCCACATTCTTTGGCTTGTGGCCTCATTCTACCATCTTCAAAGCCAGCAACCTTGCATATGCAGCCGTCCCTCCATCCTTCCACCTCCCTCTGACCACAGGTCAGGTGCTGCAGTTGTAAGGACACATGGGGTTAACCTGGGCCCGTTGGATGATCCAGGATCCTCTCCCCAACTCAAGGCCCTTAACTTGAATCACATCTGCAGAGTCCCTTTTGCTGTGTAAGGTTCTGGGGGTTAGGATGTGGACATCTCTGGGGACCATTATTCTGCCCATCAAATTGTCTTTTCAAGTTTAGCCATTCCGTTGGGTGTATATCTCATTGGAGTTTTAATTTGCATTTCCCCCAAGTTTCTTTTCCTGCGCTTATTGACCATTCAGATATTTATTTTGTAAACAGTCTGTTTGAATCTTTTTTCCATTAAAAAAAAAAAATGGGGCCGGGCGCGGTGGCTCAAGCCTGTAGTCCCAGCACTTTGGGAGGCCGAGGTGGGCGGATCACGAGGTCAGGAGATCGAGACCATCCTGGCTAACACAGTGAAAGCCCGTCTCTACTAAAAAATACAAAAAAACTAGCCAGGCGAGGTGGCGGGCGCCTGTAGTCCCAGCTACTCGGGAGGCTGAGGCAGGAGAATGGCGTAAACCCGGGAGGCGGAGCTTGCAGTGAGCTGAGATCCAGCCACTGCACTCCAGCCTGGGTGACAGAGCGAGACTCCATCTCAAAAAAAAAAAAAAAAAAAGGGGGGGGGGGGCGCCACTTTCTTATCAAGTTATGTGTTCTGGGGTGCATTTCCTTTGTCGGAGATAATGTCTCATGACTGTTTTCTCTGTGGCCTGCTTTTCATTTTCTTAGTGGTGTCTTTTGAAGAGCAGAAATTTTAATTTTGATGAATTCAGTTTATCATTAAAAAAAATTTTTTTTAAAGACGGAGTCTTACTGTTGCCGAGGTTGAGTGCAGGTGTGTTCTATCCTAAATTCACTTTTTTCCAGTAGTTTTTATTTTCTAGATTCCTTAGGATTTTCTACATGCACTGTAATAATGTCATCTGCAAATAAAGACAGTTATACTTCTTTTCCAATCTTTTTTGTTTTGTCTTAACTCACTGGCTAAAGTGGCAGTAATATTTTGCATTTCTACTCGCAACGTATGAGAGTTCCAGTTACTCTGCATCCTCAGTAGCACTTGGTATTGTCTGTGCTTTTACAATTTTAGCCATTTGCATATCTTGTTGTGGTTTTAATTTGCATTTTCCTAGTGACTAACTGAGATCTCATCATTTCGTGTGCTTATTGTTAGCCCTTTAAAAATTTTTAGTTACATGTTTATTCAGCGATGTGGTTTGGATCTGTGTCCCCACCCAAATCTCATGTTCAGTTATAATTCCCAATATTGAGGTGGGGTGTGATGGGCCTGGTCCGGTCACCATGGGGGTGGTGTCTCATGAATGGTTTAGCACCATCCCCTTTAGTACTGTGGTTGTGATAGTGAGTTCTCTTGAGATCTGGCTGTTTAAAAGTGTGTGGCACCTCCCCCTTCTCTCTCTTGCTCCTGCTCCCACCATGTGAGACTTTTGCTCCCCCTTTGCCTTCTGCCATGATTGGAAGCTTCCTGAGGCCTCCCCAGAAGCAGAAGCTGCTGTGCTTCCTGTACATCCTGAAGAACCATGAACCAATGAAGCCTCTTTTCTCTATAAACTGCTCAATCTCAGGCATTTCTTTATAGCAATGTGAGAGAATGAACTAATACATTAAGATATTTCGCCCATTTTATTAGTTGGATTGTCTGAGTTGTAAGATTTTTTTTAATATATTCTGGATATAAGTCCTTTATCAGATATACACATATTTTCTCCCAGACTGTGGGTTATGGTGTCTTCTGAACTGTAAAAGTTTTTAATTTTGATTTTTCAATTTATAGAGTTTTTTTTTTTCTTTTATGGATTATGTTTTTTAATGTCATCTCCAAAATATATTTGCCTAGGTAAGGTCATGACAATTTTCTCCTGTGTTCTCTTCTAGAAGTTTTATAAACGTTTGAGCACTTACATTTAGGTCCCGAATCCATTTTGAGTTTTAATTTTTTTTTCTGAGGTGGAGTCTGGCTCTGTTGCCCAGGCTGGAGTGCAGTGGCACGATCTCAGCTCACTGCAACCTCTGCCTCCAGGGTTCAAGCGATTCTCCTGCCTCAGCCTCCTGGAGTTTTACTTTTTAAAATTTTAATGTTGTGGGTAAAAGTCTAAATTCACTTATTAGCATATAGATAGCCAGTTGTCCCAGTGCCATTTGTTGAAGAGATTATCTTTCTTCATTGAATTATCTTGGTATCTTTGCTGAAAATCATTTGACCTTATAAATAAGGGTTTATTTCTGGACTCAGTTTTGTTCCATTACAGCGTATGTCTATTCTTTTTTTTTTTTTCGAGACAGAGTCTCACACTGTCACCCAGGCTGGAGTGCAGTGGTGTGATCTCCGCCCAGTGCAACCTCCACCTCCTGGGTTCAAGCAATTCTCCTGCCTCCTGCTATTTTTTTTGTATTTTTAGTAGAGACAGGGTTTCACTACGTTGGTCAGGCTGGTCTTGAACTCCTGACCTCATGATCCGCCCGCCCCAGCCTTCCAAAGTGCTGGAATTATAGGCTTGAACCACAGCGCCCAGCCATATTCTTATATTAGTACCACGCTGTCTCGATTATAGTAATTTCAATTTATTGTAAATTTGAAATTGGAAAGTAAACGTTCTCCCATTTTCTCGTTTTTCAGAATTGTTTTGGCTCTTTTGGGTCCTTTGCATTTCCATATGAATTTTAGGCTTACCTTCTAAGTTTCTACAAAAACACCTCTTGGGATTTTGATAGGGATTGATTGAATCTATGTACATCAGTTTGGGGAGAATTGCCGTCTTAAGAATATTGGGTCTTTCTATCCATAAACATGGAATGTCTTTCTATTAAAATAGCATGCTTTTTTACATATCTAAAGCTTATGCTTGCTCGGGTCTAAAGAAAAATGGAAAAAGGAAGGGTAGTATTATGTATTATGTAAACAAATATATCTATTTTATTATTAAACTGTTTCTGCCACTAAAATCAAGTCCCAAATTACAACTTTCTGAGGCTGAGTGTGCTGTGAGTTCTGTTTCTCTTCTGCCCTGTGCTTTCCGTTTCCAGATTCTGGGGAGCAGGTCCTGGTGGATGTGGAGACCAAGAGCAATAAGGAGATCATGGAGCACATCAGAAAAATCTTGGGGAAGAATGAGTGAGTTGTTTGGTTTGACCTGGAAGGAGCAAACTTCTCAGCCCAGAGAATTTGAGGAAGAAAGGGGTGTGTGGGAAGGGTGTTGAGAGGTAAGATTCTCTGACAGTGAACCCCAGACACTACAAGAGCTGGGGCTGTAGAATCAGTTCTTTCTGATGTTGCTGTTCACCAGATCACGAAACCTCTGTAAGCTTTATCTCCCTTGGCTGTACAGTGTTGAGAAGTACCTCTCTCCCTTTTGCAGGGGACGGGAAGCTGAAATGCAGCTGACTTGTGGCCCTGTGCAGCTAACCCTTCTCTCCTGGGAATCTCAGCTTGGAGCTAGTAGATATCTAGCCCCAGAGCTCCTGGTGACAGGTCTTTCTTTCCATGAATGAGAGGAGACAGAAAGGGAGGGAAGCCGACGAAGTCTGTCTTTGAGAAACCACACAGAGGTCTTTTCAGGCTCCTTTATCCTGTGATTGATTGTCAGCGCTGTGGGCCCCACCTGTGGCAGCAGATAGGCTGACCACACTGCGTAGGCTTGCTCCTGTGGTCTGAGGGGACAACAGCAGGCCTTCCTGCAGTCCTGTCCTCAGGGGCCAGCAGGGAGAGAGGGATAGGCTTTGGCAGTGAGGATCAGGTTAGAAGGCAGGAGATCCAGGTGTCCCTGGTGGATGGTGGGGCTGTCTCAGCTGAGAAACTGCCCTGTGCCTGCCACTCAGTCGCCAATGCTTGGTTGCCATCTGTGCACTTTGGCAGGGAAACCCTCAGGGAAGAGGAGGAGAAGAAAAAGGAGCTCTCTCACCCAGCCAACTTCGGCCCTCGAAAGTACTGCCTGCGGGAGTGCATCTGTGAAGTGGAAGGGCAGGTGCCCTGCCCCAGCGTGGTGCCATTACCCAAGGAGATGAGGGGGAAGTACAAAGCCATTCTGAAAGCCAGTGCCCAGGACTAAGGCCCATGGTCACTGTGGGCTGGGGTGATGGTGTCTGACCAGTGGGAATATTGGAATGGGATTACTCTGGCCCAGGGAAGCCCCTGGTTCTGTCCCTGGAGACTCTGGAAATCCTTTTGCATTAAAAGGACTTTACACACCTGTGTAAAAGGACATGGGAGAGGAGGGTCTGAAGCTGAGCGCTAAATGAATATCCCTGCTCCACTGGTCAATAAAACGCTTCCTAACAGCAGCTTGGTGTGTATCTGGTCCTAGTCAAGAGGAAGGCCTGTGTAGTAGAAAGGCTTTGAGCCTGGGAGGTTAAGGCCACAGCCTGTTGACACCTGTTTTGGTCCTGTGACGCTTTACTGGTCTCCACTGGCTTTGAATCTTCCTCTGGGCCCTACTCTGGAGAACATCAGGGTTGCTGTGGTTGAGTCTGGCTAGCACTGTCTGTGGCTGGCAGTGTGGACACCCCTCCATTCAGTTCCTTGGGTATTTTTCAGAAATCCAAAGGCAACCCTTTGTGCACCGCTCACTTTTGTAAGTATAATTGATGACCCTTGCCTGCTGGGGAGCCTAGCCATGGGCCAGAGATGGAAGAGCCCCAGTGGCTGACAGGCCAGCCTCACCCAGGCACGTACCTGCTGACCAGTACCTGCTGACTGCCAGCCTGTGGCCCAGCCACTGTGTGCATTAGCAGGGAGGTTTGTAGGCCTTGGAGGAAAGGAGGAGACACCACCTGGTGGCCACATCGGGGCCTGCTAGGGGGATGGTGTCTATAGCTGGTCACCTGGCTCTGCTGGCTCCCTCAGGCCCTGCTTACCAAGCTCTGGAGGCGGGAGTGCTGCATTACTGAGCACCTTCCTTGTTCTTTCCTCATAGGACACTGATGTTACTGTCATTGTAGTTATGCTAAAGTGGAGGTTTCAGCCTCCAGAAGACAGCAGAGCCCTCTAGGGTCACCTTAAGAATAGGTTTAGCAAGGCTGGGTGTGGTGGCTCATGCCTGTAATCCCAGCACTTTGGGAGGCTGATGTGGGTAGATCAGTTGAGCCCAGGAGTTCGAGACCAGCCTAGGCAACATGGCAAGACCTTGTCTCTACAAAAAATACAAAAATTAGCTGGGTGCGGTGTTACGCGTCTGTAGTTCCAGCTATTTGGAAAGCTGCGGTGGGAGGATCTCTTGAGCTTGGAAGGTCAAGGCTTCAGTGAATCATGATCGTGTGCTACTGCACTCCAGCCTGGGCCACAGAGCAAGACTGTCTCAAGAAAAACAATTTTTTAAATAGGTTTAATGATAAAGTGAAGGACCAGTTGGACCATGGCCCCCTAGAAACTCAACCGAGACTTGACTTGTATCTGATACAAGGCGGCAGTGGTTAAAAGAATTAAAAAAGGACGGTGGTGCTTGGAAGAGCAGAACCAAAGTTTTCACTCCTCTACCTACTAGGGCCTTGGCCAAGTCTTAAAGCTTTCTGGGTCTGTAACTGGTTTTGTCTGTAAAATGGGGAAAAGGCTACCTTTTCTGCCACATGAACTAGCCGCCTGGTGAAATGATGTCATACTACAATGTGTTTCATTAACTGTTGGAGATTATCACATTAAATTGAGCAGATTTGGGTCTTTTACATTTGATGCTCAAGTTTGATTCTGTGTTCGGGGTGATGGCTTGTCAGGGGTGGGAGGGGAAGGTGGGCAGAGACTGATGTATAATGGACAGGTGTTCCTTGAGTGACCACAGACTTACAAAGGGAGTGTTTAATTGCAATCTCTGCCATCAGCATTTTGGCTGGGTGGAAAAAGCTCTCCTCCACTCAGAGCCCTCCCATGTCTGCTGGTTTCAGTTCCCCACCCAACTGACTGAAGTCTTGACCTTGCCACTAGCTGCCGGGGCATTCTACTTGGCTGCAAGGGCTCTTTAGAAAGCACCTAGTTCCTTTTGGCTTTCATCTGCAGTTTAGGTCTCCATAGCTAGTGACACAGAAAGCCTTATGAGAGTATTCCTTTCCTCTAGGGCCCAAAGAGGCTACTCACCAGCAGGAATGTCCTGAACCAAAGGAGTGGTGACCCTTCTCTAGACAGAATAAATGTCTGGTCCCTAATGGGACAGAAAACTAGGGTTTGAGTTCAGGCTTGACACAGGAGTGATGGGCAGTAAGGTGGACAACCCAGACCCAGAAGGGACATGTGTGGAGACAGCAGCATTCCTGTGGTGCAGTTACTGCTTGTGTGGCCAGCTTCACAGGCAGCAGGTAATTTGTGGAAGTAACATTATTTTCTTTTTTTGTCCCCTGTAGGCTACTTGATCCTGGATAGTTTCTCTTTAAACCTTTGTCTTTCCCTATTTTGTTTAGTAGTGATGAAAGATGGGTTTAAAATATACAGAAATGGGAGAAAATTAGAGAAAATATGAAGATTTTATAATTTATACATGTTCTTAATTTTATTTGCACAAGCAGTGTTCACAGCCTTATTTTTCTGAAGTGACCACTTTTATTCTCTTTGAGGCACTACCTGGCAGCACCATCTAAACCTGTATCTGCTGTGGTCCCAGTTACTCAGGAGGCTGAGGCAGGAGGATCGCCTGAGTCCAGGAGGTTGAGGCTGCAGTAAGCCATGACTGTACCACTGCACTCCAGCCTGGGTGACAGAGTGAGGCCCTATCTGGCTGCCAGTGAGTTCTGTTGTGCATCAGACTTTGGACCTCAGAATTTTCACCTGGAACATGAGAGGTCAGATGACATAATGAGTACGTTCTAACTTTTGAAACTTCTGGAGCTTATTTTTACTCTTGATAGCACGTATCCTTAAAGAACAAAGCTTGTCAGTTTAAGGCCTGTCTGTAATGGCATCTGGTGGTCCAGCAGCCTAACGGTGCTCTGCTCCAGAAACATCTGTGTGGCTTCCCTACCCCTACACCAAGGAGCTGCCCTGCTGGGTGGATGTAAAGACTGTTCTGCCAGGGTTTCCCACTAAAGGTATTAACAAGTCACGTGGACCACAGAGGGCCCAATCCCCCTTGGCCGCTAAGGCTAAGGTTGGAGCCGGAGAGCTGTAGGGACCGGACCACCAGGATGCTTCATCTCCACAAAGGAGAGTGCCGCGCTGTCTGGGGGCCGGGCGTCACTACTATCATGAAGAAAAATGAGGAGCAGGATGCATGTTAGTCTTTAATTCACTTTTAATAGTATAAACCTCATTTAGGTAGTAGTATTAAGCCACAACAATAATGCCACATTGAAATAGCATTTAATAAAATGCATAAAGCTAATTCATGCACTGCAATACTCTATATACAAACACAACAATGCAAATTCTTCTTCAAGACTGAAGACATTGATTAGATATAAAATTCAGTTTAAAAAGAACATGCTATTTTTTAAATGCCATCACATAAACAAAGTGATTTCACAGGGAGAAGAAAGCTGTATAAAGCTACAGCTTTCAACAGGTTTTAAACCTGGCATTAAAATGTAATGGCAAAACCAATATTTTCTATGTTGTGAAGGGCAAAGGTTACAGAAACGGTCCCAAGAAAATCTAACACCCAAATTTTCCTTTGATAGATAAGATGCCTTTAAAAGGGCTGGTAATGCAGTTGCATTCTAACAGAGAAGTCCAAACTACAGGTAAAAACTACGGCTTGTACTGTGAAAAATGTGCAGCTTTTCAGTTATAAAACTAGTTGAACACTGGTTTATAAGACAATCCGTAGAACAGAGAGACTGTAGAAAAATATTCCAGCACTTGAGTTGTGTGTGGCAGCAGCATTTGAGTCCATGAATGCTATGGTCGTTAAAATAACTGATTATACTTTCCTAAAGAAAAGCCATTTTTTAATGCAAAGTCTACTACTTCCAAATGTTATTCCAAACATTAAATTTTAACAGTCTATCAATCAATAAATGTTGAACATTTTTTTCTATTTTGCATGTATAAATATCAAGACGCCAAAATTATTTATAGCTGGGCATTAAAAAACCTGACATTTTTCTCCCCCCAAAGATACTTTTCTTAAGCTCACACTTTGTTTTTAGACTGCTGTTAAGATAAATAGCCCCAAAGGAAACTTTTTATTTTAATTCATTTAGAGACTGTCAAGTTTCCAATTGCATTTTAACTAGAAAGCCACTTTCAATAGCGTGATTGTCACGACAGGCTGTAACAGGGAAAGGTCGCACAATCTTGTGGGATGAGGCCAGTGAAATAGAAGCTTTCTCTACATCAAAAACAGGGAAGCTGAAAGCTAAATGACCCACCATCTCACAAAAGGCACTGAGTACTATGGTCTCATAAAGTGTTTTTAAAACATTTTGATAACTTATTTTAAAAAGAAAAAGAGTAACCTGTGGATTATGTGAGTTTTTGCAGTGATCCAGTGATTCTTTCCAGCAGGCCCCTGCTTCCCAGTTCTATGAGCAACTACTGCTGGGCCAGGCCCTGGCTCTCGAGGGCTGAGTTTCAGTTTAAGGCCAGATTAAGGGGGAAAATTCATCCGAATAGACCTGGACAAGGAAAATTTGGTATCTGTAGCTTTTAAGGGCACATACATCCATAATAAAATGCAATTCTTATCTGAAAATTTAAAATCATAATTTATAGAAACGAGTTAAAGTCTGTGGATTTCATTCACATGCTTACTGTTAAGAGAAGTAACTTGCTATTTGTAGCTTATATGCCGCAAAAGTTAGCCATCAACATCCATGCTTAGTTTTAAAGAATAATACTTGGTAGGTTGTTTACTTTTAACTGGGGATAGAGAGATGGAAATTACTATTTGTTCAGTCACAGGACAGTGCCCCAAATCTTGCTGACTGAGCACAGAGCAAGCCTGGGAAATTATTACCATCTTTGGGAGTCAGGCCTCACTGACACAGACCGTTCTGAATCTCTGACCGTGACGCCTGTCTCTGGGCTACTCAACAGAGCGGAATAGCTGGGAAGGCTGACGGCTCAACCCAACTGCCAAGTCCCTTCCAGGTAGTGCCATGAACAGGTGCACGAAAAGGTTAAAAATTCCCACGTAGTTTTGGATATTAAGATAAACTGTCTTCCAGCTTCCTGGCTCTTGTCTGAACCTGGAGAATACAGGGAAATGTCACCCTGTCAGAACCTCTTCTGCCTGGAATTCTTCCTTTTGCAGAGTGGAGATTCTGACTTCATGGCCCTTCCCAGGCAGGCTCACCCAAAGGAAAATGGAGTGAAGAAAATCACCAGCAAATCTTCCCTGCTGAGGGACCTTGCAACACCCACATTAGTTTACATTAGCAACTTTATCAAAAACTCTCTTTAGAACATAAGGAAAGTCTGGATACATGTCTGTATACATAATATACATCTATGTACACATACACACACTATATACACTGTACATAGAGAGAGGATATAAACACATGTACATTCATTGAGTCTTACAGCCTAAAAACCTGTACACGCACGACGCTGCTGAAGGGACCCAGGGCCGGACATGCGAAGTGCACGCTGGTGGGAGGCACACAATGAGAAGGTCCAAACCCTGCGTACAAAAGACCCAAACCAACCCTGTCTTGATGAGAGGCTGGCTTTAAAAATTTACATCAAAGTTAAGACATTTTCAAAGAGCC